GGCACCATCCGCTTTTTTCGCCACATTTGCTTATGCACCCATTTGTCTTCAGCGATCGTATCATGGAGGTGAGCACACAATGTTATGATTTTTTGTTCTTTGATGCCTGATAACTGATCCCTTCGGCACCTCATGATCACACAGGCTGGTGTGAAGTGGGCATCTCATCCAAGTCCTTTGCCAGCAGATGAGCTCCGCAGCTCTGGAAACCAAAGTGTCAACTTCTGCACTTGACCCATCAACCCTTCTTTCTGGGAGTGTGGAAGCTGGCTTTGCTCTTGTGAAAAGTCCACGATGCCCTGGAATGAGCATGTGCCTGGCTTCCTCCAGTCTAGGTGTCAGAGGTATTTTCAGAGTAACCTGCCTACTGTATCATCCAGCTGACCATGAAGACTGAAGTCACTTTTGTTTCTCAATGTGATGTATCGCTCACAATTGCAGGAGAATGGTTGTCCAGTCTCTGCGTTGGCAAAATGGTCTTTATCTGGGAAGCCAGGAAGTTCTTCCTCAGCCCTTCCAAGCCCTTCTGCTGTGGATCAGACTCCCACCGGAGGGCAAGTTGTCCGGCCAAAGACACAAAAGGCCCAGCGACTGCCGCGTGCTGGAAGGTCCACACCGCGGTCGTGGGGAGGCAAGCATAAAGCCCAGGAGCTGCCTTCCAAGACGGAGCGCTGGTCCAGGCCCACCTCACCTGGAGGAGATGAGACAGCCTACGACATTCTGAGGAATTGTTCTCGGTGTGATATTCTACTTCCCCTGCCGACCCTGATTCAACACCAGGTACCCAGCCTCTTGTCTCGCCTTACCCGGACGGGAACCATTGGGCAATGTCTTCAAGTGTTCTAAGGCCTGCAGAGGTGGTGGGACATCTGCTCAGTAGTCTGCAGCTGGAAAGGGCCTGCCCTCCGGGTGCCCAGATACACTTATCAGTATCAGTGGCTATCGGGTCAGCTCTGACCCAGGGTGGCCTTATATCCAACGGAAGGAAACATTACGTGTCTTCATTGTGTCAGCACCGTCCAGGCCAGTGTGGCGGCCGGCTGCCATGTGTTTGGAGCCCATACCAATGGTCCTCTTCCAGGGCCATAGCAGGCAATATTTTAGGGAGAGCTGTGAAGTTTTCGTGAGCCAATTTTTTCAGAAGTAGATCACCAGGCCTTTCCTGCTAGTCTGTCTTGGTCTGGAAACATGCCTACCAAGATCAGCCTCCTGTCGTGGTTGCTCTTAGTGCCATCATGTGGGTTCCACTCACGCACAACAGAACAGAACGCGGCCATCTTCAGTGTAGTTGCTGTGTTCCACCCTCCTCGAAATCTTGATAGCAGGCTTTCCTGTATCGGAGCAAGACACAAGCCACCACTGCATAGCAAACTGGCAGGCAGCTGATCACAGCGCATGCCCCCTGGGGTGGGGCTTTATCTCCCAGAGACTGAGCCATCTCTGAAGGTAGAGCTGGATCTGTAGCCTCTGCCTCTACCTTTAGCCCAGAAGGGGACACCCCGCAAGCACTTCCAAACTGTGGGCAAATGAGCAGAGTAGAGGGTCTTCAGCCTATTGCGCTCATGTTCTATAGAAGGCCACTGAGGCATAGAGAGAAGACACGTCTTGGCCAAGAATCCAAGTCAGGTCTTAGAATCCAGGTCTACGTCCTGATTTGCAGCCTAGATTGCTGTCAGTAGTGGTAAGCATTAGCCATAGAGCTAGGTAACCACCACGTGCCAGTTACAAGGCAAGGTGCTTTACAAATAAATGGCCAGTCCATCTTCAGTAGAAGCCACAGATGTTCCAACTCTATTTTTCAGGTGAGACAAATGGACAGAAGGGTGCAACAGCGCCCCCTAGGGCGACACAATTAGCAAGTGGCAGAATCCAGCCAGCACAAGCGAGTAAGCTTGGGCTGGATGACTGCCTTAAATACACACACACACACACACACACATTCAATATTTCACATTTCTCAAAATACAGCAGTTTGAACTCCCCAGCCATTCCAAGAAAGGGAGATGAGGCTTTCTG